ATGATTCACATTGTGCATTATTTATGTAAAAACCAACAAAACAGATCGACGTACACGCGTTATATTTACCTGGCGATCTTCCCAGGTATGTAACGATATATACACAAGGTAACGTTCCTGGGGAAGTACCTGGATTATTTACTAACGCTTGGATACATTACAGCGGTGTAAATATAGCTAATTAACACGAATCCATCATTTCTATTGTCATTAAACAAGAGGTCTAAAGGGCCTACACGGCTCATATGGTTCATGCGGAAATTCACTGTTAGTGCCAAATATTAGTAGCAGTCTTTGCTATTACTGCTTTGAAACAATACGAAAATGATATGATATACCTATATATATATATATATATCCAAAAGTATTCAGCAAAAAAGAATTTGTGGAGGGGGGCCATGTAAGGTCTGTACGTATTTGATCCTTGAAACCTTGAAAAATACGTCACAGTTATATGTTTTCAGAAAATTGATAACCCTATACTGCAAACCGAGATTCAAAATCGGACCAACTCAGCTATATTTGGTAACATGAACCGGCAATGGCTTTAGTGTTGTATCACGTGATCTTTGTCCGTCTCGAAGGGGGTATCTGGTTGTGACGTCACATTCATTATGACGCCATAGATACTCATCTTGGATACAGCGACGCAGATTTTCGCGTAAACTTTTTTGTCTGACTTAAATTTATCACCTTCTCGTGTAAACACTTTCACAGAATGGCAGTCAACGTTTTCAAGAATATTTCAGCCTGTAAGGTAGCTCCACTTCTCGTTACTGGCGATGTTGACGGATTGGGTCGACAGAAATGCCCAGAGGAGCTCTTCCGAGCCAGGAGGGGATTCGAACAAATTAAATTGAACTTTCTGACTACGGTGGCGGACAACTGGGATGGACAGACCTCAACAAGTGGATTATTTTATGAACCATTCTGTAATCCAATGAAGAGCACCAGAACAGACAGCGGGACGTCTGCCCAGTACAACTTGGAATTCGAAGCGGACCGGAACGGCCACGCTTCTATTGGACAGAAGGGGAAACCACGGAAATTCAGGCCACGGAAGATTCTACGCAAACTGGTCGGAAACTTGGGCAACAAGGTTCAGTCAACCTCCGAGAAGCACACTGGCAACTGAAGGGGACTATAGCTAGTACAAAGAACGACCTATCATCAAGGCTGAATAGACGGAGGGACCAGGCTGATGCTCTATTTCAAAGAGAACGAATCTAATGACATGTTATCATTTTTAAATCTACAAATTTATTTTTTAAGCTAAACAAATAATCTAATTTATGTTTGTTTGGGTTTTATAATAAAAACAAAATGTCTTCAATTCTATAGACTTGTTTTTATTTGTTAAAATACTGCGTTACCACGTTGATCTACACATCTAATCCAGATGGAGTAAAATAAATTGTATTGTTTAACAGGCGAATATATCGTTTCATAAGAAGTTGTCATTTGAATGCATTCGACCCCTCTTAGGTCAAGGTCCGCTATGTTCGCTTCTTTGTAGCACACCATGCCAGTAAGGTACTGGTCAAATAATGACCCTAGAACTTTCGATTTTTAAGAAGTCGATAAAAAGATTTAGAAAATTAGAACCAGATATCATTAACTATAAGTTTGGTAATTTTGCTTAGCAAATTTTGTATCTCGTCATACCGGCAAGTTAGCCAGCAAGCTTCTGTCCAAATATCGTAACTGTAGATAATGAAAAGGCCGTTTGAGCGATTTAACAGATTCGTCGGGTTTGTATCATTAAATACTTGCAAGCTGTCAACTAATCATAAATCTCCGGTACTTTAAGTCCACTAGCAATCATTTAAACTTTTCTTTTTTCTTTTGTTTCTTTTTAAAACATATTTCATACACATGCCACGAAAGAAAGTCGGGATCTGGCCTCATCACAGGAAGCTTTCTGCGTTAAACATGTATTTTGACCTTTTATCCTATGGTATTTAGAGTATAGACGCGGCACCGTCCTATGTTCTCAAACGGCCTTGTTTGTCAGATGGGCTAAAATTGCACCAGAAATTTATATATTGGTCTTTTTTACTTGTTAGATACACTTTAACAGTTGATGTTTTTAATATGTTTTTCATAAATGCATCCATGTTGTTTAATGTCATTTTGCGTTTCCCGTCGCGTTGTCGGAATCCCCATCGCGTCATTTGACTCACACACTACAAGTTCACATTTAAGTTCCTTTTTGTTTCCATAAATTACACAAATGCTGAGAGGACATATTATGTGATTATACAACGGTATGTTTATATATGTATACATGCACAGTTTATTGTCCCGTAGGGCTAATTTATTTTTAAAACAACAGAAATTTGCATATGTTGTTCGTGGTAATATAGTTCGTAAAGTTCATAAGGTTTTATAATTAAATAAAGTGTAATCTAGTTTATCGAGGGTGAAGATGCTAATTTTTATGGTTTACCCAATGTTGTTTCCGTCACTTAAGGTACAGTAGTACGTTTGTGACAAGCATGCTACCATGTCGTTAACCAACACATATTATATCAGATCAAAAAATAATACTTCAGTTTATATATAAATCTTAAACGACACACAAGAAGACTTTAAACATTATAGAATGACTTGAGTTGCCTGACCTAAAATAAACATATTTGTCAGTTATGGACTTTTAAGGCGAAAATGTGGTTATATAGACCTGAAAAATGCGATAACAACCGAGACGAAGTCGGGGTTAATCTAACTTTTCATCTGCGGTCCATATTTATCTTTATTATATGACTGGTGCTAATTCCCAGCCCTGATTGGAGGAGCGACGGCCTCTATGAATATTGTTCAGACCAGGTCCATAAATCAGGGATAGAACTCACCTGAAGTCCATAATTGTATGTTGATTTGGATTTAAACATGTTAATTGTCCCACATTTGAGCAGAGGATTAGGCACAGGTTATATCAACTTATTAACGTCTTTTCCTCTCTATCACTTTTATCAATTATCGACTCTTTGTAGATGATTCTGTGGTTATATGAATCTTAGAGAGAGATATTAAACGAGGCAAAGCCGAGGTCAATACCGCTTTTCCTGTTCATCTAACCACATATTCACTTCAATAAAAGTGACGTCATACAGAGAATATTAACTTGCTGTTTTTAAAACCGTAACATGGAGTAAATATCTTGCATCACCGACATCCACATGAGTATGATTCAGTTAATGAGGATGTACGAAAACAGATGAGTAGTACAAAAGTACCGCTTTTGGCGCAGTCCCCCGCCTATATAATCCTTACCACCACCCCGCACCACCCTGCAGCACCACCCTTACCGGATGGTACCGATCGATGACGTCACAGGGGGGTTCTCATGTATTTGGGGGTTTCCTGACTGCCTCTATTTATAGCGACAACCTATATACGAGGGGGTACCGATCGATGATGTCATAGGGGGTTATCATGTATTTGGGGGTTTCCTGACTGAATCTATTTGTAGCGGTCCGATTGCAGCTGTTGTTGTTGCTGTTGCTGCTGCTGCTGCTTTGTGACTCCATCTCCATAGTTTGTTGCTGGCATCATAACGGTACCAAACGGTTAGGGTGGTGCTGCAGGGTGGTGCGGGGTGGTGGTAAGGATTACATAGGCGGGGGACTGCGCCAAAAGCGGTACTTTCCTACTACTCAGATGTCATTGTCAGAGCTACAACTGAAGCGAAGTCATGGAGGGAGAATATTAACCGGCTGTTAGGAAAACTGAATCGATATCACAAACCACTCATAATTCACGTGATTCTGATCTAACCAAGGAGGATGTAGGAAAACTTTGTGTAATCATATCGTCATAACCACTTCAGTTCATGATTGGTCAAAAGGATCGCCATACACCATACACTTATATTAGTTACGTGTTTTTGACAAACATAGTACCTGTTCGCATTATTTTAGACCCTCTTAAAGGTTCCACTTTGAAAATATCCGAATTATAATACCAGCTTTACAACTGTGTCAAGTATATTTACTAACGGATCAATGGAATTTGATACATGATCAACAATCAATAAAATAATTATCTATTCATCTAATTATCTGTTTAATTAATTTGATTGATATTTGTTATGTTCAATAATATCACTCATTATATCAATGCATGCTGACCAAACAAAGGGAGATAACTGACATAAACTATGAACTTACGGTGAAATCCATCTTCATCGACTTCACGTGTTTTATATGACTATTGTTGTAATTATTAAATAAGATATATGACGATGATGGAATATATATTTAGCTTCTGAATACGTTATGGGGAGATAACTCCAACATAGCCTATACGCTGTTTCTTGAAATAAATGTTACAGTCATTTTGTTGCGTTTTTGCATAACATCGTTTGTTACCATTTCAAAAAATATATAATGATTCAAATATTGGCGCATAAAATAAAACATTTCGTAAAAAAAAGTATTTAACAGACATCTGTTCTGTCGTTTTCACAATTTCTTTAATTATTGTTCACGAGAGAGCTTTGATTATGTTGCTATAACTTGTGCCTGATCCTTTTGTTGAATTTAAATGCAATACAAATATATTTAACTGATAAAGCATCATTATAGCTTTCTATGGAGAATAATTAAATTACTTCTTATGATTCCTAGCCTGCCCAAACATCGCATTATCCCATTAGAAAAATTCCAATCACAAATTCACACAATTCATTCCGTAGATCGATCAGTCCTGGCACCATTCCTCGCGTTTTAATCAGCACTTTAGATATATTGATGTAATGTGGATACAATGTTACCAGGAACATTTTATTGAAATGATTTATTTCTTTCAAACTCCTTCGTGTTGTTATAAATGTCACAAATACAAAATTATATCAAATGTTTTACCAATTACCTATAAATTCTGCAATTTATCTTTTTTTAATAAATGTATTAAAAACCCCAATGAGTTTATCATCCCCGTCGGAGGCCCCTTATGTCATCTGTCAAATCGGGAAACCCCGACCGGAACAAGAATGACGTCAGCCCACCTCTCGGTCCGTACAGTATCTATACACTACTGTCAAAGCCGGCAGTTGTACATGTGTTCGGGGATACAACAGACTTGTGTTATATAACAGGTTACGTGATCTGTGTCAATCAGTTGTTTTATTTCGTGTCGGATACTTGTTTGTGTTTACTTGGACCACAGGTGGACCGAATCAGACCCAAGACGAACTGTAAAATAGCGCCACAGCCTACACCGCATGTAAACATGTGACCGACATGTGTGGTACACGTATATTTATTACCTGTACAGTGTAAGAACCTTCTCTCAAAATCAGAATTTATTTACAAAGCCACAAAGATGCCTACACCAAGCTGGCCGAATGCTGGCATAGGACCCGATGGGTTCTCGTTTCCATCTACATTCCAAGATAGTTTTCACAAGCCAGTCCAAATTGATGAAGACGTCGAACCTGAAAACACCAACGAAAGAAACTCGGAGCAAAATAGACTGGATAGAGTTCGAAAAGGATCTGCCTTGATCATCAACATTCCACAGTCTAGCGGTTATGACAGTTATGACGAAAATCCGAAAAGCATTAAATCAAATATGCTTAACATGGATATTGAACAAAATAATACTGATGATAATCAACTTGAACAAAAACAGTTTTTAGATTCTGCAGACGGACAAGGCGAGGCCGAAAGACGGAAAAAGAGGAAGATATTTAAATGTTATTTGTCTAAATGTAGATTAGCGTTTGCTTCAGTGGCAGGGATCTTTGTACTATTCATTGTGATATTTGGAGCGATTTATTTAGCAAAACATTTGGATTCTGATGATGACAAGGATAGTGATGACATTTCCACAAAACCACTTCAAGTTGATATTAATGATATTGTTACAACACCAAAACCTCCAGTAAGTTTTTACAATCATCTTATTGTTTTCATGTTCAAAAATTCTTTGGAATGTAGACAGCTCCTATTGATGATGAGTTCTGATTTGTCAAGTTTATAATTTATTCAATGTATGACGGGACTCATTTGATCTTCCAATGTCAATATACAATAAAGATACTATTAGAAATCAATTCCAAGGAAAAATGGGGATGTGGTGCGACCACGGAGTTGGGATGGGGTGGGGCCGTGTTAAGTAAATGGGGTGGGGGCCAGGCCACCGACGAACACATGGCTTGTATATCTCGGGGTCGGGGTGTACAGAAATACGTGTTTTATTGCGATTTGGTAATTCGGGAACAATGATAATGACCGAGTTGTCACTAAAATACGTTGCTTCTAAAACGTGACAGAAAATGTAACGAAACATCATGGCTTTGATTAATTACACCTCAACGGTCTGTTTGTTGTAGAAACACTATGCTGCTCGTGGTCTAAATGATTTATAACGAAGAGTATATCAATAGCATTGTCAGCTTGACACAACCTATGCGTCCTATATTAAACACGTTATGTTATACACATTAAGCTACCTAATACCGGAATCGATTAACCCATAGTTGTTACATGAATCATATTTATTGCGGAATCGATTAGATTTTAATTGTTACGTATTAATTAATTGAATCCTAGATAGCAGTCTATAAGTTAGCACCACGTCTAGTTGCTGTTGACTTTTGTAAAAAAAAAAAATTGTTGGTCTTTATCTTTCAATATACGCGTGGGTGTTTTTACACAGCGATACATAAATTAAAATCTAGTTTTACCCCCTATACAGTTAATTTCATTGTAAAACCTTTAGCGGGCCCCACCCTCGGCGTTAACTTGGATAAATAAAACATGTGCCGTTATCTGGGGCGATGTATATACCGTATACACGTTTAACAAGGTGTACGGTTTCATCCGAAACACCGACCCACGCTTGTTATACCATTAGTCGTCTTTTCGGACATTAGACTGACCTCAGGTGTCCGAAATGTACTTTTAAGGTTGAGGTGTCACGTGAACTTGATCAATTCAAGCACTTCCCATCCAATTACCGATTGCGAAACGATCAATTTTGACCTATATATGAAAAAAGCAGACGACACTTCTACTTCACAATCTGGATTTGAGTCGGACGAGCCGGATATGGTTTGCGGTAGTTTGTATCTTGAGTATTCCGTAATGGGGGCCTATTGACACCTCCGTGACCTTTGAGTAGACTCAAATGGGGATCTTTTCACTCGAGGTCGAGATTCAATGTATTGATTGATTTTCTGTACAATATATATCGTGTGGTTTAACCGTATAGTAGCGAGGAATTTCATTCATAAATCGCCCACTCCCTCTTCGAACATAGGGATTGGCGGTGGGCCAGCTGTCACCTTTTAAGTATTGTCATCTTACAATAAGCTTTATAGGACTTCTCAGTTAGTCGTTAATTTTCTGGTGATAATATGCCTTTGTCGTAATAAAGTTCAATTAATGTCATTGTTAATATGACACAAATACAATTATGTTAGATAATAAAACACGCATCAGTCATTTATTTTTGAATATGTCCGTAATTTTGTGATTTTGAAATCAACGCGACTGATCCAGGGCTAATTTTGAAAAGAGGTTGTTTAAAGTTATACTGTCCGGCATGTTGTCATGACTTTATCCTACAATCACACCTGATATTAGATAATTGCTATTTTTTCAGTAAAATGTCCACAGTTTTCTACCTTTCGTACGTCCGTACGGCGATATATTTTGTCAATATTTTGCTTGTTAATAAAACTGGGGTTATTTGGTTATTAACAGCTTGTTAGCACCGATAAGGATACGACGAATGTGAAACTAATTTTTGACCTATTTAAGGAAAAGATATGTCCGGGTTTTCCATTACTCAGACTGTTCACTGAATCGAGGCTGCGAAGTGTCCTCTGCGTTAGTGACAGAGGCCCAAGGAGGGGGGACTGTAAAGACGTAGAAATAAATACTAACTGCAGTTTCTTATCGTATTTTTTTTTAACAGATTAACACAGACATCTCACCCTCGAAGGATCCCAACCACCCAGTAGTGGCGATTAAGATGGTTGTGGACGAAAATTATGCACAAAACGGTAAGTAGAGATTTCCGTCCTTAAAAATTTAGCCGTCGTCTGTCAACATTCTGTTTTATATACCATGATTTCTTCAATACTTTATTTAAACGATGAATTATTTTCAATCTTGTTGAAATCCAATAATTATCTAGTCCGTAAACCGAGACCCCAACATCGGTCATAGGAAGCAAATGAAGATTGAATATTTTATGTTTTGAACTTCAGTAATTAAAAAAAATTGAGTATATGATAATGTGATTGATTTACACTCTTTGAGCACATCAAAGACACAACACCGAAACAGAAAAACAAAAAAACACTGAACACCAAAAACATGACATCAAAGACACAATAACTGAACACCAAAGACACAAACATCAAAGACACAAACATCAAAGACACAAACACAAAAGACACAAACACCAACGACAAAAACACTAAAGACACAAACATCAAAAGCAAAGACAGAAACATCAAAGACACAAGCATCAACGAAAAACACTGAACACTAAATGCATGACATCAAAGACACAAACACTGAACATAAAAGACACAAACACTGAGCACCAAAGATACAAAAATAAAGGACACAAGCACTGACCATCAAAGACATAAACACTGAACACCAAAGACACAAACACTGAACACAAAAGCCATAAACACTGAACACCAAAGACACAAACACTAAACACGAAAGACACAAACACTGAACACCAAAGACGTGACATAAAAGATACAAACACTGAACACGAAAGACACAAACACTGAACACGAAAGACACAAACACTGAACACCAAAGACACAAACACTGAACACCAAAGACACAAAAACTGAACACCAAAGCCACAAACAATGAACACCAAAGACACAAACACTGAACACCAAAGACACAAGTACTGAACACCAAAGACACAAACACTAAACACCAAAGACACAAACACTGAACACCAAAGACGTGACATAAAAGACACAAACACTGAACACAAAAGACGCAAACACTGAACACCAAAGACACAAACACTGAACACCAAAGACATGACATAAAAGACACAAACACTGAACACCAAAGCCACAAACACTGAACACCAAAGACACAAACACTGAACACGAAAAACACAAAGACATAACAACAAACAAACAACACTTAGCACCAAATACAAAAGCACTGAAAAACGAATACAGAACATCGAGCACAAAACACTGAACGAACACCAAACATATGAATATAAAACAGTGAATGAGGAACGCTGAACACTTGAAATGACCACAATTTCGATAAGTAATCATAAACCTTTTAACAGGAGAGACACGCTACCGGAGACCAAAAACACAAAACGAATTCCCAAACACTGCATTGAAAAACCCCATCATGTTGATTATCAAAGAATCAACATTAAACCAACTCATTGAACCTAAATACTCGACATTATCAACAACGAAACAACGATCAGCACCAAACCAAAAATATAATCGTGAAATTTGAACACCAAATAAAATCAACATTACTGAAAATTTAGGAGACTAGACAACGAAAAATCATGAACAATTTAGCGAGACGAACGAGTTATATTTTATCAACTACGATCTATCTGTTATAGGTAAAGGTCACCTAGTGCTGTGGAAAGCACCCCAGGGTAAACACGTCCACCAGGGAATCACCTATAACAACGGCTCCTTCACAGTACCGGTCGACGGGTTCTACAGTTACAAATCCACTCTCAAATTTGACACCCGCAAAGACAACTTGGAATCCGAAAAAGAACTCCATTTCCACCATTGTATTAACATCAATGGCACACAGAAAAGTACTTGCACAACAAATGGAATTCCAGTGAATGCAATTCGAACCAATACCGCGCAAGATTCTTGGGTGTACATACGCGCAGGACAGGAAGTGTACGTCACAATTAATAAAGTCGGTTTTATTTCGGATTCAAGCGACAGCAATACATTCACAATGAGTTTACATTCGGGTTCGAAGGAATCTCGGTGAGCCACTTCCGGTAATCATCCTAAAAAACGGATATGTGTAACTCTTTACTGATATGAAATCGACTTCCCCGTCGATGAGGTTGCCATAGTTACTTCCGGTAATCATCCTAAAAAACGGATATGTGTAACTCTTTACTGATATGAAATCGACTTCCCCGTCGATGAGGTTGCCATAGTTACTTCCGGTAATCATCCTAAAAAACGGATATGTGTAACTCTTTACTGATATGAAATCGACTTCCCCGTCGATGAGGTTGCCATAGTTACCGAGCGCTGCAATTGGACATCTTGGCATTATTCCAGAAAATGAAGGTCATTTCATATTGAAATTGACTCCATGATGACCATGCGTCAGTTCTGCGCAGTGCAGAAAATGTGACGTGATGGCATCACACAAAGGTCGGTGGAACGTACTTTTGACTCGCTTTTCAAGCATTTTTCGTGTTGTAGACGAAACTCGTGAAAGAGATCTGTCAATTTAAGTATCCGTCCTTAAGGAAATGGATGCCTTCTTTTCCAGGACCGGAAAAAAACATTGACCTTTGTTTTCTAACAGACTTGTGAAAAGCGCAGTCGGAGAACTGACATTTGAACTGTGATTTTATAAATCACTTGGCTTGAAGAGCTCTGATCAATATACAATTGATTGCCTTGAAAAATCAAACATTCATTCGTTGCGATTTTATTTGAAACCTAGTTTTCCATAAAACTGAGAACCTTTCCAAGGAATTGATGTTGGTTGTTAACTTGTCAGCAAGAGCTGATAACTCTGAAAAATAGCATTAAATCCGTAGTTATTTCGAAGACAGCTGCTGTTGCGGATGTTGAATGTGTACGATCAAAACTGGACATTGCGTGTCTTGGGCCAGCAAATAAATCTGTTGCATGCAATGAATGAAAATAGGGTAGTTTTGTTGTTTTAGTTTTTAGTATACCGTTAACCTAAGTTTTATAGAGCGTATTTTATTACTCCAACAATGATTGTTTAAGATTAGCATACAAAACATGTATGCGGCTAGTTCGTCACCGTTTAGAGCAGGTCGAGTTAGTGGAAACACTGGTTTTAGACCAGTATCTAAGTAACTGTATTCTGTAACTTTGAGCATTTTTCATGAATTTATAAATAACGAAACAAATTCAATAACTGCAGACACTGGTCATTGATAAAATACGTTTACTGTATCTATGTACATTTTTACGGAGGTGCTATTTCAAGGCAGTGCTACTACTGTTTTTACTATAGGATAATAAGTGCTATTTTTTACGGCAGTCCCATTTTCACAGAATTTAAAACGACAGCAAAAAAATTAGGTCAATGTGTGCCTATCAACACAGGCCTAACACAATATAGAAACCGCAAATTAATCAGTTTACAAATGTTTATTAAATTCTTCATGAATGAGAGATTATCATTGAACGGATTACAGAGTTCTGCCCTATAAGGTGACTCGGCAACAAAACGTCTAAAACGTCTCTGTGATGTCATTAAATATTGATCAGTCAAGCATCTTAGTTTTTTTACTTAGCATTTCTAGTCTTTGTGTGCAATGCTGTCATAACATGCAACCTGACTTCGTTATTACGAAGTCGAATATCGAACGCCATACATATATCGAAGTCGTTCTTTTGCCTCCCTATCATTTTGTTTCTAAATAATTAAACCCAGATATATCTAATTAGTACCCCTCTTATCTCGATGTTCCACCTTGGTCCTCACGACTTCGACATAACTTGGTTTGACTCTACTATATGTGTCATGTCTGGTAAGGTTTAAAAGTTTTAGTACAAATTTCTCCGTTTTTATAAAGGAATTGGATACATTCAAATTCAAATTCTTTATTTCATCTTGAGCATACACATCTCATCGATTCAAAGGAAAATTTCATAATCAGCACAGGCTGTAAGATACAATCAGCATATGGAATTTATAATATAAATACATTCAATCCATGCGCCTATTGATATAAATCATTTTCTTTGTTCTTTGGTTAGAAATAACGAATTAAATCTTGATAAAAAAATGATGTAATGATTTTGAAATATTGAAATTCTAAAATGAAAAAATAAAATAAAAAAACAATACACGTGTTTATCATGAGGTTAAAAATAATGATATGAATATTTTGTTGTTCCTTTTTTTTGGAATTTATATCAATAGCTTATTTAGTTAGATATTACTGAACCCAAAATCTAGCTGTATGAAGCTTATTTTTTCTCCGGGACATACATTAAGTCAAATTTTTAATTTCATATTAAAAATCACAATTTTGGCAAGAATATGATTTTTTGGGCGTACAAGATACAAATTACAGAAACTTTATTTAACGTCGCATACATCAGGTAAACAAGGAACAATTGAGAGCTAATATTGCGACCATGTATCTGAGGACGATAAATTCTAATTTAAGGAGGTGCATAGTTTGTTTTCCGATTTCATAACGATTCAAAACGGCATGTTTCAATTTAATTTCAGCAAATCTGAAATAAATCTGAAGACTTGAGTTGTTTAAAGTTTTTTTAAATTTACCCCTTTTAATGTAAATATTTCACATAGTCTTGCATTGTAAAAGAATCGACTTTAAAAGTAAATTTGCATTTACATTAAATATATAGCATATTTGTAAAGTTTGAAATATTTCTAAAGATACATATATATCGGACGAAAGTAATGGAATGCTTTAATTTGGAACTTATGTATTTAACTTTTGTATGACTACTGGACATTTTTTAATGTATTTTTTTTTAAATGCTATTTTTGTAGGCCATTGCCCGTAGCCGCGATCTCTTTGATAATTAGTCATAGTTTTTGTGGACTGACTGTGTATATATATTTTGGATAATATTTTTGCATAGTCACATATTTATTTTAAGCAAGCTGACAGATTCATGCTAGACAAACACACACACACATTGCTTTGCAGAATATCGAGTTATATTTAGAAAACTATTTCGTTATCTACGATGAAAATATCACAAGTATTAGTCATTCCTGATAAAATTATGTAACCAGCTTACGATCATCTTATCACTGATTTCTGCTGCTTCTGTAGGTTGTGAGTTTACATAACTTTTTCATTTTCTGCTGATAACAATGCGAGAAAGAATTTCATTCATGGATGCAGTCTGGGAGCTAAGTGTGATCTGGGCGCGTGAACGAATCCGGTTGATTCGTAACAATTTAGAACATGCAGTGATGATTTATGTTGTAAAAAATAATATTTTGTTTAAAACAGTGCACATGCGGACAAATGAATATGTGAGGACTAAAGATGTTTTCTCAACCCCCTTACCTGCCGATCCTCCATTCTCCAATCCCACCAAACCCTCACCAAACCAACCTCATTCCGTCATGTCATTTTTTGTTCCAAAAACCATAGTCATTCCGAAAATTTGATGAATTTAACCCCAGAAATTCAAGTCTTAAAATCCCACATACTCTCTGCTCTGCTAAAGCGCTGAGCATTTTCTGTATCGCTTGGTATTTTTGTTGTTGTAAATTTAAAGATCGTTTTGGTTATCGACGCCTTGTGATAATAAAAGGCTGCATGTATTGGTACCATTCAGCTTATATGAAATTGAACAACGTCATTATAAAAAAACAATGTAATGATATTTTGATAATGATATTTTTATTTTATTTTTTTATTTGCACATTTGAAACTAACTACAAAGTAGTTTGAAGGCAAAAAAGAAAATATGTCTACTTATCCTTCACATATAATGTCGGGTTTCCCCCAAGAAAATCAAGATAGATATATTAAAGTTCATTCACAATTCATATAAGAACATTATTAGAATTTGCTTCAGACGATTAAATTAATGGAAACAGCTGAATGGCTACCAACAACCTAACTAACCATTACCGTGCGACCAAGCACAGGTTTTATATGTTAATAGGAAATGTTGACTTGTATGATATGATATAAAGTTATCACTGTAAGACAATTAAGTTATTGTTCTGTGAATAAAAATGAAAAATACATAAAACAATGTTTATTTTTATTTCATTGTTGACAGCACCCCTGGAGACACATTTGAACTCATTGGAATAGGTCATTATGAAATTTTAGGGGTGAATGAGTTACTAACAGGTAGCATCAATGATCATTAAGGACCCCTGTGTGACTGTCAAAAAAACAGCAACTAAATTGTGTTCATTGAAAAGAATCTTTCCGACATGACTATGGCTTTGATAAATCATTTCTGAAAAGAAAATCTATTTCTTATTTTTAGCTCACCTGGTCCAAACGGGTTCGTTGAGCTTATGCTATGGCGCGGCAGAGGGGCGGGACCCAATAGGGGGAATAGAGGTAAAGCCTTTAAAATCCTTCTTCTATCGTAATGATAAAGGGATTTTATCAAAATTTAGTCAGGAGCATCCTTGGGCCAAGGGACTAAATTTTGTATAAATGATAGGTGTGGCCCCCCTGGGGGCAGAGGGGTGGGGCCGAATAGGGAAATAGAGGTATACCTTTAAAATCCTTCTCCTACCATACAGATTAAGGGATTATATCCAAATTTTGTCTGGAACATCCTTGGACGAAGGACTCTCAATGTTGTATAACCGGTGGATGTGGCCCCCTTGGGGGCAGAGGGGCGGGGCTCAATAGGGGAAATAGAGGTAAAATCTTGAAATGCCTTCTTCTTTCGTAGGGATAAAGGGATTTCATCCTAATTAAGTCTGGAGTATCCTTTGGCAAAGGGGACTCAGTTTTGTATAAATGGAGGATATAGTCCCTCTGGGTGCAGAGTTGTGGGGCCCAAAAGGGGAATTTGAGGTTTAAGTATTCAAAATCCTTTTTGCTCTGTCCCATTTGAAGGATTTCATCCGTATTTGACCTGGAGATTCCTTGGATGAAAGGGAACAGATTTGAATAAATGGAGGGTGTGGCCCCTTTGGGTGTCAGAGTTGCGGGGCCAATAGGGGAATTTGAGGTTGAAATCTTTAAAATCCTTCTTCTTCTGAACCATTGGAGGTATTTTATGTAATAAGATTATTTTTTATGATACAGGCCCTCTGGGCCTAGTAAAGATAAAGTAACAAAAAAGAATGAACGCCTGTGTTATAAGTGTAAAAGGAACAGACCAGCATCTGAACCCTGGATCTTCAATCATTTTATTGTCGCTCAAACCAGCTGAGCTGCCTTGCCAACTGTAGCGACGTGATCCCGTAACGTTACAGTTAGGTCCAAAACAAATTAAAGGGAGGTAACTGTGTGTACTAACTTAAGTGTAATTCCTTAACACTAACAGGTTTGACTAGTTATAGACAGGTGGTCTCTGAGGCAGGTTTGACTGTTGTTACAGACAGGTGGTCTCTGAGGCAGGCTTGACTGTTGTTACAGACAGGTGGTCTCTGAGGCAGGTTTGGCTGTTGTTACAGACAGGGGGTCTCTCAGGCAAGTTTGACTGTTGTTACAGACAGGTGGTCTCTCAGGGAAGTTTGACTGTTGTTACAGACAGGTGGTCTCTGAGGTAGGTTTGACTGTTGTTATAGACAGGTGGTCTCTAAGGCAGTTTAACACTAACAGGTTTGACTAGTTATAGACAGGTGGTCTCTGAGGCAGGTTTGACTGTTGTTTCAGACAGGTGGTCTCTGAGGCAGGTTTGACTAGTTATAGACAGGGGGTCTCTGAGGAAGGTTTGACTGTTGTTATAGACATGTGGTCTCTGAGGAAGGTTTGACTGTTGTTACAGACAGGTGGTCTCTGAGGAAGGTTTGACTGTTGTTACAGACAGGTGGTCTCTCAGGGAAGTTTGACTGTTGTTACAGACAGGTGGTCTCTGAGGCAGGTTTGACTGTTGCTACAGACAGGTGGTCTCTGAGGCAGGTTTGACTTGTTACAGACAGGTGGTCTCTGAGGCAGGTTTTACTGTTGTTACAGACAGGTGGTCTCTGAGGCA